ACTCCCGTGTCTCATTTTAAGAGCTACTTGAAATTACTGCCCAAGAGAAACAGGATGCAGATATGCTTGTTTTTCCCTTCTAAAAATATCCCTTCCCCATTTGTGTCCCATACTTGTGGCACCAAGTATGCAAAGTATATCACAAAGCTGAAGAGGCAAAAGATGGGTTTTGGTGATGCTATGACTCAGGAACTCATTGGAGAAGACCCTAATTCTGGGAATGATAGATGACAAAAGGAGAAGGGGACGGCAGAGGATGAGGTGGCTGGATGGAGTCATTGGGGTGGTGAGTGTGGGCTTGGGTGGCCCCTGGGGGATGGTGGAGGACAAGAGAGCCTAGAGGAACGTTGTCCATGGGGTCACGATGGGTCAGGTGTGACTTTGCGACTAACAACATGTCTCAGGTGCTGATGGTGTCAGGAGTGGTGATTTCATGCACTCTTGAAAGATTTAAAAAAATAATATGTAAGTGAATGGCCCAGTAATCAAGAGGCAGGAGCCAATGGTAAAGGGATGGTTCTAAGGCCCAGTAAAGGGAAAAATCTGGAAACATCATGGAGATCCACCCTGTTGACCTGCTGCGTATTGATGCAAAATATGTGAATGCATAATAAAATGTTGCAGCAAATCTTCCACTATCAAGAACAGAATTTGGGGGTTCACAGGGTGGAACTGGGGGTGAGTTTTCAGGAAGGGGTAGAAGAAAGAAAGTATTTCTTCCTTCCCACCTCCTAACACCTTCCCACAGTATGCCAAACAGCTTAGGTTTGGGCTGGCTGTCAGCTCTGAAGCAATAGTAGTATTAATATACTGAAAGTGGGGAAGAATATTCCTGTTCTGAAGGAACTTACAGTGTAAAAGAGAGAATGAGAACAACAGAAGATGAGTGGGTGTAGGAACAGGGCCCACTTCTCCAAGCTCTCCAAGTCTCTGACAGAAGAAGAGGCAAGGTTGGAATGATTGACTGAAATGTCAAGACTAGCATGTCTTGAGCTAAGCCAAGTAGCTGGTGAGGATCAGACCACCTCTGTTTCCGAGGCAGACCTGTTGAACAGGCAAGATCAGAGAGGCAGGAATGAAACATAATCAGCCCACCATCCAATGTCTGATCATGACAGCTGACCAAGTGAGTAATGTCCGACATTTCCACTGTCTGACCCACAAGCACCTCCATCCTGAGGATGGAGATAACTCCATTTGGTTGAGAAGAGAGCAGAGGATTCGGTCAGTTTTGGCATCAGCAGTAATCTGCTTCGTAGCTGACTTCCTAACTTAACTGTTTATTTTGCTAATGGCCTCTGCACTGCTCCTTTTGTATCACAAAGCCAGCCTGGCTGGCTGCTTTAACATAATAAAGACATAAAGATTATCATTAGAAATCTCTTGTCTTGATCTGCTTGGAAATAGAAAGACCAGCCTGGAACAGAGGGAAAGTCTAGGTGCCAAAGGAAAGTATAACGGAAATCACAATTACATTCTTGGTTGCACAGCTGGGGGATTTTTAAAAAGTTTATTCTATTCTTAATCCTGCAGGAAGGATGATCTAGATTTTGCCAACCATGTTAACACACATTTTTTTCCTGTCTGCATTCTGTGATCTTTCTATTTAATAGCAATGAAAGTAGAGTAAGGAAAATACTAAAACATCCCTGAGTGATAATTTGCTCTTACGTGATTCCACCTAATTTTCTACAGAGGCTGTGATGAACATGTCCATCACCCAGTAATCCACCAGACCCCTTTGGAACTTCCAAAATTGCTTTTGTAAACTTAGTGGCTCTGCATAGAACTTTTGCTTCTTTAGATATTCATTACATGTTAATCATAGTAATCCATGTGCTGGGGAAAGCTTCACTGCCCTTATTGTGGTTTCTGGTAGGAAACAAAGACCAAAAAATGGTCTCCACTGAAAGTGCTGGAACATTCTATCCATCCATTTTAACTGGACAGTAGCAATAGCACCAAGTTTTACTGCTGAAGAATTTCAGGAAAGTTAGAATGCATTTTAAGAGGTTTCCAGTGGTAAATAATAGGAATTATTTCCAAAGAGGTTGGCATGACACATACGAATTTCAGAATAGATGTGAAACTGAAATACTGAATGCCTGATTCTAGGGGTGAGTTCTCTCATTACATTAATTATGTGGTGAATGACTCGAGGTGTATTCATGTGGAATCTTTTTGTACACTTCTGGTTCAGTGCTTTGATAGGAAACTGAGAGTCGAGAAAACAGGTACAGTGCTGCCGTGTGGTTTTCATGTCTCATTTCCTGGTGTAGATTTCAACATCACTGCTGTTCACTTTTTCAAGCAGCAAGGAAAGGTGAAGTGTCTGAGATACATCCCCTAGAGCTGAATGCAAATGCTTGAGGGATTGCACCTTTGCATATTCTGATTCAAACTGACCAGACCTGGACTAAGGGGAGAATCGGAATGCAGCCAGATATCAAATTAAGCACATTAAATGCAATCTACTCAGGTTGTGTGATACAACTCAGCTTTAAAAACATGCCACTGGATTAAAAAATAATAATAAAATAAAGTAAAATAAAATAAAATACATTTAAATGTATATTTTGAGAGAAAATGCATCTCTGAATATTATTTAACTCAGTATGTGCACACAACCTTTTGTGCAGGCCTTTTAATATATCTGATTCAGGTCAAAACAGAATAATGTACATGTAAGATGAACTGATAATATACTGATGCATCTGCCCCTAAAGGGAAAGTATGCATGATTCAGCTTCAGAGGACTGGAAGAAGTAAGGGTCATGTGATCAGCACCAGGCAATCATACTTTAAGAGCTGAATTTCAGCAAGGTCTTTGTAATTTTTGGGAAGAGGGGCAGGTGCAACATGAGATGCACAGAGCTCCTTCAACAGTTAACTGAAGAATGCAGCACATGCAACCTTAAAATAAAAATCTTTGTGCATTAATTCACAAGAGGAAAAGAAACATGTATGTGTGTGCTTTTAAAAGGTGCACCAAAGTGGAAGGGAATTGGGTGCTTCTGTAATATGGGGAGGTGCCTGGCAGAAAGGTGGAGATTATCCTGCTTTTTGGTTTTTATGGCCTTTAAGAACCCTTCCTTGAGAAACCCCCCAAAGATTCCAGGCTTTCTTCAGCAAGTTTGCTTATCACTAGTTAAATTAATTGAATTAATACCCCAGCTCAGATCTTTAATAAAGCAGTGTCCTAGTTTATACTAATTACTTTCCCTTTTCCTCTTTCTAGAGTATGGGGACAGCCACTTTATAGAAACAAAGTTTCATTACCCAGCTCTGAAAACTCTCTTCAAACTCTCTCCTGATGCTTACATTCATTGTCAAACAAGAAATTAACTGGGAATTCAGCTCTCAAGCTTAAAATGGGGCAGGGGGAGTCAGTTCTGATATTTCAGGATCTATTGCATGAGATGATTTCAAGGCACAGATTTAGATGACAGATTCCTCTCCAACTTTCACTTGAAAAGATCTTTAAGCCTCTTTAAGGGTACAAATCAATCCTGTTGGGAGTTGTAGGCTTTTTTGGGAGGAAGGGAGTCTTAACATGTATAGGATTCTGTCATAACCCATTATTTAGATTTATATCTCAGAAATAATGTGAACTGGTGAATAAGGCCACAAAAGTTCCTAGTTCATGGATATCTACTAGTCCGCTACCCCTCACTTCTCTGCCTTATAGAATAATCCTGCAACTCTTAGTCAGCTTTCAGGGGCCGTGGATGGTTGCAGATCTCCACCTCCTCAATGGTAGACAGAACCATGACCTTGGAGAAGACCCAAGTAGATCCCCCTCACAGCTGTTATGGAAAGCCTCTCACTTCTGACCTCAGGATGGACTAGAACAAATAAGGATGAGTGTCCTGAAAGGTGGGGAAGGAGAGTCTCTGGATCTACCGACCCAGCAGCCTCTTGGCTCCTGTCCTTTCCTTAGCAGAGATGGAGGGCTAGATGGGCTCAGAGGTCTACCTACCTTAAAAGCCAATTGCAGAGAACTCAGAGGCAAAAAAATAGCCCCCAACATTTCTTTCACCCCACTAGTAAGTATGCATGTCTGGGAATTTAATTGCTCCTCGCAATTCATGTAGACATGTCCTGTTTCTAATCCCAAGTGTGAGTGGGAACTCTTTTATCTGCACTTCAAAACCAAGCTAAGCCCAACCTAAGAATTTTCATGCTTTAGTTACTAAGGGGGTAGGTGTGCACTTTGAGAAAGTACAGACAGAAATTCTTACTTTCCCCATTAGAAAGAGCTAGAAAACAGGTCAAAACTGAAAAGAGGAATGAGCTGAAGTGATCATGGAAGTGATTTTTTGATATTTTAGGTGAGCTAGAAAATAATTGGTTCTCCCATCGAAAGCCTGACATGCACGGAATATTTGGAGTGCTCTCACAGAGTGCTCTGCCATCTAGGATGATGTAGGATTTAGTCTAGGATTAATAACTTGTGACCTAAAAAAATAAGAACCAAGCTTCCTAAAGCTGCTACTTAGACACACGACAGCAACTCTTCCTCACAACCAGCACTGAGCAGAGTTGTCATTTACAATCCTTGAGGAACAAGCAAAGGTGAGCTCTAGTTCTGTTATGGTTCACTAGAGTATGCAGCCATAAACAATCAATTTAAACAAAAGAATCCATGCATTAAGGAGATGACATAGTTTGATGATTCAAACATCTCCTTTTTCTGCCTATCCCTTTAAAACTTCAAAGTGGTCAGATGTAGTTTGGCTATTATATTTAATCAGTGGAAAAATCTTCACTTGATTGAATTTGCATACTTTGTCTCCCACAAACTGACATGGAGAGAAAGAAAGCGCCTCACAAAACTTCCCTCCTCCTGGATCGGCAGCATGAGATCTCTTATTAGCAACTCTGTTCTGTCTAATATCAATAATGTTGCTGGATTAGAATTCTCAGTCCTAGGAAACTGTAGCTATAAGTGACTTGGCTGAAAGAAAACAAAACACAAGAAAAGAAGAAAGAATAATTACCTGTCTTTGATGCCACAAAGATCAATGCGCAAATCACTAAAATTCCCTAGGGATCCTTGCTGAACTAAAACGAGGTCCTTGGGCTGGTTATCAATAAAGATGAGTCTCATGCAGCCTTGAAAAGCCGTAATGGGATTTAAACATTTTGAATAGGTAAAATTGTCAGGGCACCCTGTGGGACAAAAGAAGGGAGAAAAGCATGAGATGAAGAATACTTATATGATAATGTATTTCCTTAGGTATTCACCACTGGAAGGTCTAATTATTCCTACTGTTTTCATTGCCTGTTTGATACGAGCATTGAGTTACAATTCTCCCTGTGTGTGTATATAAACAGGCAATAGTGATTAGATGCAGATACTTGGAAAAGTTCGATGCATTGTCTGTCATGAGCTCTCTTTCCTCACAATTGCTCTCCTTTTCCATTTCCAAAAGGCCATTATGAGAGCTGGAGAATGTGCCAAAGTCTAAGATCATCTAGCCTGGACAATTTGTCCAGCTATCCCTAAACTGTTCCAACTTTCCAGACATTTTAGGCTATATTTCCCTGCATTCCTGACCACTGGCCATGTTGGCTGAGGCCAATGGGAACTGAAGTCTAAAACCTCTGTAAGATTGGGGGATTGAGAAGGCTGTTCTCTACTGATTGACAGCGATTTTCCAGAATTTTAGGTGGAGAAAAGTAGATCCTTGACAGTTTCAACAGTATTTGCCTTTGATGGAACTTCAGACCTTCAACCTGCAAAATACTTATTTATTTCTACCACTGAGCCTAACTGAAATGCATATAAATTATATGAGAACCATACCCTGCCATGGCATCTTTCTTTGAGTCTTTAAGGATGGCATACCCCACCCTAAAAATATAGGAACAATGGAATATATATAAAACTGGTGGCTCCCAGCTGACTGCTAGTTTACCTGAAACAAAGCTTCTGAACGAAGTCCTACATCTTATATTATCATGAGTCTAGTACTATTCTAGGCACTCTCTAAGCCCTAGAGACAGTATTACTGGACCATGCTGACATTCACTCATTATTAGAGGGTATTTATTTATTTATTTATATCCCACCTTTTTTCCTTTCAGGAAACTCAAGGCAGCTTATATCATTCTCCTGCTGCTCTCAATTTTTCCCCCACAGCAAGAACCCTGAAAGGTAGTTTGAGTTGAGACTCTGCCACTGGCCCAGAGTCACCCAGTCACTCCATGCTTGAACAGGGACCAGAACCCAGATCACTCAGGTCCCAGTCCCACCCTCTTAATCACTACACCCCACTGGCTCTGCTGTTCGTATGATCCCTAGTAGTTCTTTGTATGCAATCCGCATAGTCCTAGTCATGGTCTGAATTAGAGCAAACACCTTCGCTGTTTAGCAATAGAGGTAAAACAAGTCCTTATCCTGTTCTACTTGAATAGGCAAGAGGGTATAAATCAGCAGCAGTCATGCTTTGTCTCAATCAGATACATTCCAAGTTTCAGGTTCCAAACAGGACATGGAAAGGGTGAAATGCATGTTTTGGGAGGTTGTGAGTCAGAAGTACAATACAACAACTAAGTAGCTGATAGAAGTGGTGCTAATCAGTTGATGGTTTGACAGAAGCAGGGATACAACAAGAATTAGCCTTTGCCTCAAATGTCTTAAAATGCTCTGTTGCACCTGACTTTACAACTAGGAGCAACTAGCTAAACTGAATGCAGTCATGAATGGTGGCCCACTGACAACAGTAAACTTCCTGCTTTGCCAAGTGCTGCGAATGCAAAAAGAGCAGAATGTGGTACGACTACATTGGTGGGCTGAACAGGGCTTGGTGGGCTCAGAGATGGCGCAGGCCTGCTCTGCTCCAAATCCCAGAGCACATCAGCAAAAGTTAAGCATCTCTATGCCTGATACAGTTTACTGTTGTTATGAAGGGTACAGGCCATTCATAAAAATGGTAAAGCAACATCTGGAAGAAATTCAACCATTAGCTTCATGCCACCTGCTGACAAAGCATGCCCTAGAAATCCTATCCCACTTCTTCCCAGTATGGCATTTGGATTGGATTGAGTTCTATGCCAGTTTCCTGGAAGTTAGGTCAGCATCTGGGCTGAAGCTACTGTCATGTTTGGGGAGAACTGTAGAGAAGAAAAGAAAATGTCATGCAGTTGAAGTCCACACCCTGGATATAAACAAGGAGCACAGAGTAAACTCTCTTGAAATATCAGGGTGCAAAGTTCAGACCAAAACAAAGTCTTTAATACTACTACAGCCTGCAAGAAGGTACTGACTGAAATATCACATATAGTAGTCGGGCAGTCAGCAAAGACAAACAGTGTTAAATTGAGGGAAATGTTCACCCAACCTTCCAAGTGCAGTACCAAAGAATGGGGTCAAAATATACAGCTTGAATGATGTTTAAAACAAAACAAGCACAGAGAGAGACTGATATTGCAGTGATCAACATTATACACCTATGAGAAATGTTCCAGGTACTTGTTGAAAGCCCAGATTCCAAGATCCCAGATATTCCGTGTAAACCCACAGAAACCCCAACATACAGTTCTCCCTTGCTGATTATGCTTAGTTCTAGAAGAAAATAAAAATCAAGATTTCACCAAAAGAAAAAAAAGAAAAGAATTCAGAAAGCCTAGGAATTATGTTCCTCTTCCTTTTTTAAGGGTGCTTACAAGCTCAATTTAATGCACGTTTGGACAGCATCCCCCAGCCAGTCATGTAGGATTTATTTCTTCTAAGCATGCATAGTATTGTACCCTAAATTGCTTATTCCATTACTCTTGCTCTCCTTTCCCGGCTTTAATCGCGTGAGTTTTGAATGACATAAATACCTGTTAAACCTCTGCTGATTTCTTTTTAAAGAGATTTCAGTTACAAATTGGAAGCTAAGCCTATATATATATAATGCCAAGCCTTAAAGTTCAAAAATTCTTAACTTAGAATGCATATTTATTCTGAAGTGCATATATTAAACAATACTTTATATTTAATTATGGGTAAGCTGTTATAAATCCTATATTATATATCCTATATAAATCCTAACATAAAATTGTATATAACATAAAATCACAGCAGTTTTTGCTGGGAAGCTGCCTTCTCCAAGCAAGAAATATACAACAGACTTCCAGAGAAAAATATAATTTTGGAAATCAGCAGCTACAGCATCCAAGTAAAGAAATCCCCTCCCTCTGAAATACTAACATTTGACTGCTGTTACCAGGTCATTCCTCTGCATGACACCTTGTGGCCAAAAGATCCAGGCGCTTTTGGAAGAGGCATTGCTGTGCCTCATTCACACTTTAGTGGATGAGATATCCAGATATTGCCTTCAAGTTGAACTCCTCTTCTGTCTTACCATTCTTTCTTCCATCTTTTTCCTTACTACAGATAATTCAGTAAGGAAGGATGGATGGAAGAGATGAACAATACCTTCTGAATGTTCATGCTAGAATCCTTCCTTTCTGAAACACCCTCAGAAGCAGAGCTGTAGCGGTAACACCTGTGCACTGGCAGAAGCTTTCCAACACTTTTGCTCTCCCTGTGCCTCTTGCACCTCCCATCAGGAGCCCCAGGTCTCAGAAACATCACCAGCAGCCCAGGTGACAGAGCCTTCCAAATATCTAGAAGCAACATATGTAGAAGCACAGGAGCTACTAATGCCAATGAGGGCTCTCTGCTGCAACATGTTTGGGGGAATGTACATAGAACTATCAAGCAGCTCCCTATGTGCAGTACTCCTGATCTAGATCAAGTCTCCAGTGGCTTGTATATAACTATGTCAAATGGAGAGGGCCTGATGCATTTGTGGATGTAACTTGGCCCTCAGAAACATGAGGCAAGAACAGTTAAGCCATCTATCAGTTGAATATGCCCTTATAAGGGAAGTTGTCATTGGGAAGGTACTTCATGATTTGTCATGAAAGGGAGGGAAGAAGTGAATCAAGTGATGAGATGATCACAGTGAGAGTAGCTTAACAGAATACAGGAGTGTGTGTGAACCTTCAGTCATTAAGAGGGAAAATGTATAGGCTCCACTCTAGAAAATTCTTCCAAAGAGATGGGTGCATATGGATTTCAGGACCTGGTATGCTGTGACCAAACAGACAGTTGGAACAATCTGCTCTAAGAATGTTTTGGAATTAAGATTGCTGGGAGAAATATCAACAACCTCCGATATGCAGATGATACCACTCTCATGGCAGAAAGTGAAGAGGAACTAAAGAGCCTCTTGATGCAGGTGAAGGAGGAGAGTGCAGAAGTTGGCTTGAAACTCAACATGAAGAAAACTAAGATCATGGTATCCGTTCCTCTCACTTCCTGGCAAATAGATGGGAAAGAAATGGAGGTAGTGACAGATTTTATTTTCCTGGGCTCCAAGATCACTGCAGATGGTGACTGCAGCCAAGAAATTAAAAGATGCTTGTTCCTTGGGAAGAAAGCTATGGTAAATCTAGACAGCATACTAAAAAGCAGAGACATAACCCTGCTGACAAAAGTGCGTATAGTCAAGGCTATGGTTTTCCCAGTTGCAATGTATGGCTGTGAAAGCTGGACCATAAGAAAGGCTGAGCACTGAAGAATTGAGGCCTTTGAATTGTGGTGCTGGAGGAGACTCCTGCGAGTCCCTTGGACTGCAAGGCGATCAAACCAGTCAGTCCTAGAGGAGATCAACCCTGTCTGCTCTTTAGAAGACCAGATCCTGAAGATGAAACTCAAATACTTTGGCCACCTAATGAGAAGGAAGGACTCACTGGAGAAGAGCCTAATGCTGGGAACAATTGATGGCAAAAGAAGAAGGGGACGGCAGAGAATGAGGTGGCTAGATGGAGTCACTGAAGCAGTCAGCGTGAACTTAGGAGGACTCTGGGAGATGGAGGAGGACAGGAAGGCCTGGAGGAATGTTGTCCATGGGGTCACGAAGGGTCAGACGCGACTTCACAACTAACAACAAAGAGAACAAAACCTGTTGGAACTGAACATCAGGACATTTGGAGTAAGCACCACTAAGTGGATGGCATCCAGCTCTATTTCTCTGTGAAATCTGAACTGGTACCTGGATGCAACAATGGGGGCTAATAAGGAGGAGCAGGCATATAGTTGGGGTGGGATAGAGCCTGGATCCATTTTCAACACAGTAGGTTCAATGGGACCACTACCAGCTTTAGTTGGTGTTTGAACTATGGCAGTTCATGGACAGGTATAACCTATCAATAGTGGTCCACATGTTGTAACCCCCCTCATAATCAAGCACGTAGCCAGGGCATGGCTCATCACGAGTAGCACGTAGCCAGGGCATAGCTCATCACGAGTATCAGGGTGTCCTGTTCGCATGAGAACAAGTACACGAACACGGATGTGCACGCTACGCAAAGCTGACGACAAAGCAGGCTACGCTCCAGCATTACCAGGATCACCGCAGACGTTATGCCCTTGTACCCACGCTTGCTTGCTTTTGCATGATAAATGTGCAAAATGTGCTCTCCCCTATTGTTTCTCTGTTGTTCCCCTATTGTTCGCTGTCATTCAAGCATAAGTGTAAAAGAGTATAAAAATCAAATGTCTCTCCTCTGCCTGCGACCACACTCTCACGAGTGCATGGTCCCTGCCGGCAGGTAAAATAAATCCCTCTCGATAATTCCAACCAGTCTCTGGTCTCGTCCGTAAAATCGCGCCATACAACACCACATATGGTGGTATCCTCACAGTTAGACTATTTTAATACAGTCAGTGTGGATCTGCCCTTTGGTGTAGAATGCAGCACTGGGATGCCCAGCTTTGCCCATGTAAGACCTGTGTTAAAACAACTTCACTGGCTGTTACTGAGCCATGCTCAAGGTTATGGCACTGTTGTACACAACCTTAAACAGCTTAGGACCAGGACACCTAGTGGTCACTTTCCCTTACATATACCCAACAAGCTGTTAAGATCATCAGAGGATGATCTCTGGGCTATCCCAAGATTATCGGAATGTTGCCATGTGTACCCACATGGTGAGTCTTCTTAGTGGTGGTGCCCAGACTGTGGTGAAGGTAAGAAACTCCCTAACTCCATTTGGGAGGTGGAAAATCTAGTATCCTGAAAATGCACCTGTTCACTCAGGCTCTTTCTGGCTTGCAGTTAAATTAACCATGCAGTTTTATGTTACCGCTCCTGTGTTACTCTGTATTATTACTATAATTGTGTCATGTTGTACTGTTTTTAAAAATTGTATTCTATGGAATTTTGGGGGGATTTAAAAACACTTTGCAGTATATAAATAGAATAGATAAACAATGAACTTTGGTACATCTTTATTCCTCATAGTGGTAATCTGTACTGTCAAAGGTAAGGGTCCCAGGCACCTGTTGACTGGTGTGCAAATGGCACACAAGCATTGTGAGCACACGTACCTCATACATTGAAAGCACAGTTCCCTGCAAAGAGCTATTTGATAAATGTGTCACAATCAGCAGAATAATCTGCATACCAAAACGTGGTGCTTCTTTTCTTTCTATTCAAACTTTGTTGAATCTGAGTAACAGCTGTGGGCCAAAAGAGATGCTTGGTGTAATCGAAAGGCAGTCAGGTTCCATTAATGTACAAATCCATGGGCAAAACAAATTAAAAGCTGGTGTGCATTTAGGGGTTGGATGGGGCTGTGACTGAAAAATAATTTTAAAAAGTAAGAGCACCTGTCTATAAACTGAAACAGTGCATTCAGCTTTTGAGCAATAGGTACAGTTCTGGTCATCCCACCCCTGAAAGTACATAGTAAAAATATCAACATTTCCAACTGTGATTTGAGAACCAACTGAGAGACTAAAAATATTAGCCACATCTAAAATTTAAAGCACTTTAGTATTTAACAAATGTAGTGCAGCATGAGCTTTTGTAGGCCACCTCCCCACACACTCATTGTCAGGTGCAAGAAGTGATCTGGAAAGCAGAGGACAAAGGAAGACAGCTTGCAGTTCTAAAAATTGCCATAAAAGGATGCTTTGATGCTCTTGTTACAACAGACCAAGGTCCAATGGTAATTGTTTGCATGGTTTTCTTTGTTAAAAGAAGAGACATGGGGCTTGGGCAAGGATAGGAATGTTCAGAATTGGGAGCACAGCATGGTGGGAAGAGAGATGGAATTGCCAGCAGGCATCGCCCACTTCAGCCATCCACCCCACAGCCATTCTTTGGAAGAAAGCTATGCTGATTGCCAAGGTTTCCCTTCCCTGTCCTTCCACTCCATTCTCCTGATTCTGATTGGGATCCCCAAACCAATGTCATTTAGTAAATGCAAAACAAGCACACCATTGCTCATTATGTATTTGTGCCTTGGTACAAAAAAGGGGTATCCTTAAAGGTGGCTTGCCTGAGAAATGCAAGAGGTGATCCACTGATCTGCTCAAAATTCAGGTGGGAAAGGAAATTGTAAAGCAGAAAGTGGAGAGATTTTTCTGCCCTGCCTTCCATGCCCATCTGGTATGATTTGGTTTGGTTTTCATTGTCTTCCCCTTATAGGAGAAAAAGGAAAGCCTGGGAAGACAACTGCTATGTCCATAAAGCTCTTGAGATATAGAACCAGACTTTCTCAGAGTCTCCCTACCCAATGTCTTCCTCAAATGAGGTGTGTGAAGGGTCTGAAAAGTCTGGCATTGCTAGTGTAACCTTGGACCGGCTGAGGAGAACATGCTGTGCTCAGGTCTTCTTAGCCACAATAACTCCCTTCCTGTGGATCTAGAGATGATCACTGTGCAGCAGCATCTGCTGCTAGGGAAAGCCCCATGCAACATGCATCCTTCATCCAAGACTCGCCCCGGAATTTGGAGGGAGGGAGGAGATTGGCAAAGAGAGGAGATCTGTTCATCAAAGGTTTGTCCTACCTTGCTTAACCCTCTCCACATTTTCCACCTTCTTCATCCATATGTGTCCTCAAAGATTTGGAAACCAGATAGAAAAATTGATTCAATGAAATAAAGAGTACATATTCTCTTCTGTTCTTCCTCTTCCTCAGGAAATCCTCAGAGTGGTTTGAAAATCCTTCTCTGGATTGAGTGCAATCCAGAGAAATTTTTTATGATAATGTAACACTAAAAGCAATGAAATATAGGCACGACTCTTCAATTCTCTACTACTGACTTCAAATGAGGTTTGATATGTCAAGGGATAATCTATTCTAAAATTTTCTCTTGTTCCTCAACCCTGCCATCTCCCTATTTGTTTCAACCTCACCAGACTGTATACAAAATCAACACATTTTTGTGTTATGCACAGGCACGGAGGCGGGCAATATTTTGTTTTTCCATATATTGCAACTGCATACATCCTTATATATTTTGACAGTTAAAACCCCAAAGCATTTTGTTTCCTAGTCTGTAAGGAGGCAATGCAATATAAATGTTTACCAACAGTGCATTAAAAAAAGAGCATGGTAGTTTATTTAAATGCAACAACAACAAACTCGCCTGCTTGTGTTTAACCATTGCTACTTCGGAGTGAACAACTTACCTCCAAAGTAGTAGCTGTGTCCTGAATAAATCTGTGAAACAGTGGTGGCGTGGACAGCAGATGCCACATCGTTATCTAGAGTTAGGGTAATGCGATGTCTCCTTGCATTGATGTTCACTGAGTGCCACAGGCCATCATATAGATTGCTGCCTGGGAAACAAACACGGGGCATGAAACAGATGAACCAATCATGGGGGACAAGAAGGAAGGGGGGATGCTTGTGAATAATTATTGCTCTTTGAGGAATAACACAACTGTCGGGCAGGTGATGCCAAAAGGGAAATGCACAACAGGTATAAACAACTTAAGATCGATTAAACTTGGTCCCTGAGCTGGTGCTCACATGGAGCTTCTGAGTATGCATAGTTCCCCATCCATTCCAGTGGATCCCCATTAAACTAAGTGGAGAAGCTCTTGATGTGGAGGCTTATTATGGGACACTGAAGGTCCTTGTGTTCTCCCTTCTTGGCACCAAGAAATTGCTGGATTTGAAGTGTGCTATTTCTCAGTCTGTAGGCAAGAGAAAATGTGTGCAATTATCTTTTCTACAAGTCATTTTGCACACCATGATGTATGCCTATTTTTGTCACTCACAGAAATCTAATCTGACATGGAGCTATCCAGATCTGAGCATAACATATATGGCTTAAAGGTTTTGAGGAGGAGGTTTGTCTTGGAATGTGAACATCATGAACCTTCATCGCATCTGTGCCTTGAAACGCATCTGATTTATTTGGCACATCAATCCTAATCTAAGTAGTACCTTTTTTATAGGTGGCAAACTGATTTCAATTGATTTCCAAGTGAAATTCTTAACGGTTTTATAGCTGAGACACATGTATGAAAGAGAGGAAGAGGAAGAATGGAGAGAATTTCAGTTTTCTGAATGTGTATGGTTTAGCAGGAAAAACTACTTGCCAAGCAATCGTGAAAATCAAAACGATTTCCCTGCTTTTGAAGGAAGTGAAGGATACACACCACTGTTCAGTCAGGGATCTGTGGAGCTCCTGAAATAAGCCCAGAAGGCATTGCTCAGAAAGTTCCTGAAGCCCATCAGAAGTTGCCAGGGTGCAAAGTGATGGGCACTGAATTTGTGTGGCTTTCCTTTGGTTTGTTCTCTGATCCTGATATACTTCAGTCTAGGAGTCAGCAGGTGCCCTGCTTCACAAAAGAGACATTCTTCTGCTTTAAACTCTAGCAGAGAGCATGTGTCTATTTGAAGGTGTCCTATTTGATGGGCTGTCCAAACTAAGTCTGATTTAAAGTCAAAGAACCATAAGGTGGAAGAGTGGCAAGAGCCCTAAATTGCCCATCCACAGCTGACACCAGGGGCAACAGACTGACCAGGAATTTGGCTCCCCTAGCCCAGGGGTCTCCAACTCAACTTACCTGGGGGCCGCTGGAAGTAGAGTCTGGGTGAGGCTGGGCCGCATCAAGTATTCCACCACCGTGGTGGGGGTGGGCCGCTCATCCCGTGGCCGGCCCGGGTGCCGCAGGCGCTTTGAGGGCCGCAGGGCCCCTTCCCCGTGCCCCGCCCGTCCTGGCAATTGGCCTACGGGCCGCGAGTTTGAGACCCCTGCCCTAGCCATTCTTTTCCACTCTGCTGAGAAGCACTGTATCTCTATATAAATTTTAGCAATCATTTCTAAATTTTCACCTATAAATACATATTTGCATCTGCAAATATTATGGAAATTGTTATTATCTTTTGGGTTGTATTTTTGTGATGCAATTCACTCCCCTTTTTTTTTTCTTTTTGGTAATGCATAAGCTGATACCTTCCTTCAGGACTGTCTAATTCCTTGCCCATGGCTTTTGACTCAGTACAGACTTCTGTTCTGACCCAGCCCCAAGAGAGCCTGGGAATCCCTGAGTTTAACTGGCCCAAACATAGACAGAGTGAGTCTGCTCAAATATAAGAAAAGTGAAAACTAAACTAAAATATTATTCTGGGTAGGACTGCAGTCAAAGAGTTTTGTGGCCCCCCAAAGGGAGTATCCTTGGTCACATGAATTACTTTCTTTAATGCAACTTGATTGAAATGCTTGACCTATAATAAGTGTTCTGGGTGTCACAGAACTATTTTGGCATTTTGCCTCAACAGAAAATCATGGTTGTTCCTCCAGCATGTAGCAGTTTAGCATTGTTGTTTTGTGCAAGTTGTCTTTCAAATTGGCATCCAGTGACCTTCAGAGTAATATCAAGCCAAGGGCTTGTTGTCATATCAACCACAAAGCAGCATATTGCTACGATTTTCCCTCTCACTAGATCGGGAAGAGACGGAAAGATGCTTCCTCCCAGCTTGGGCTCTCCAATTATGCATACCCTTTAAACAAAGCATACCATGCCTGTGCTATGGTTCAGGACCTCATTTTATAACAATGGAGACATGGAAGAGAGAGGGGAAAGATAATATTTCTGGTGGACATACCTGCACTGATGGCCACATATTTTTCTGCTGCCTTCTGGATGATGAGTGTGATCCTGCCATGCTGGAGGTATAACAGGAGTGAGCCAGAATTTTCTGACAGCTCGGTGGATAGGAGCAGACCATCCTTGTTCCATGTTCGAAATTGGAAGCTGACTGACAGACCGTCAAGCTGGGGAGTGCCTGGTAACAGCAGGTAACTGCTGTTGGAGCTGTCGAAGGTAATAGGTGTGATCTGTGGCTCTGAGCAAGCAAAAGTCACATTGCCCTGGAAAGTAATACAAAACTTTTATTTATTTGGGCGTGGGGGGCAGGGACAAAAAAATATAACGATCAAGCTAGTTCTCTGTTCTGCTTCTCTGAACACCCTGCCTTCATCACAATGGCGGGATATAATGTAATGCATCTTTCAAATATGTCTGTAGGTATTTGTACAATATAAGCAGAAGGAGGATGCTTCTTAGTTGGTAAACACTAGTCTCTTGCTGAGATGCTCAGTTTCCAGTAAATCCAAGAATGAGTGTTTTGCTGCTGCCTTAAACAGGAACACTTTTAATTTTACACATTTTTCCTCTGAGCCAAGGAAATACATGCAGTGTGCTGCTGGAAAATAGTTTAGGTTTCTGGAGTAGAGATGGATGAGAACTCATATCACTTCATTTTTACCAGGATTTAATCTGTTAGTACCTTCAGGGCCAAACATAGGCAGAGTCAATCTGTGGTCAAAGTCCATATATTTCCAAGTTTGGAAAGTAATCGAGCTCAACATGTGTACATTTGAAAAATGTGCTTGAAAAGAGTGTTTGCAAAAGGAATGTCCATGAATAGAGATATGTGAAGAATCCATTTTGGGAATAGGAATCTGTCAGATTTCTTGGGTTTGGTTTCCCAGACTCTGGTCCAATTTCTCATGGGCATGAATCCAACTTTCTGGTCAATGTGCCAAACATTAATGCAGATACCACCAGAAAGGAAGTCCATGTGGACAATGCACAAGGGATGTACCTCCTCCACGCATAGGACTTGCAACCTTTGGTTGTGCTGAAGATGTTTTATTTATTTATTTATTTATTTATTTATTTATTTATTTATTTATTTATTTATTTATAGGATTTGTATGCCGTCCAATTACTAACATTTCTGGACGGGTAACAGCATAAATAAATTGATGACCCACTCTGGCTGCAAATTAATAAAATACAATAATAAAATTAGATATTAAATCATATTAAATATTGATTAAATAAAAAGGTCTTAACCTGGCGCCGAAAAACATATAATGATGGTGCCAGGTGGACCTCTCTGGGGAGCGCATTCCATAGATGTTGCAGAAGAAGGTTGCCCATTGGCACACCTGGAGTTCTGAGAGCATTCATGGACTTTGTCTCAACTCAGCTTGCTTCCTAAGCAATGGCCAAGCACAAGAAAAAGTCTGACAAACAGAAAAGGGCCAGATTCCAGGGATGATCATCGTAACCCCGCATATAAATACACTTTAATCAATAAGACAAGCATGTGCATATTTTGCTATTATTACATGGCACTGATATCCCACCTTCTTCCTCCTGCGAGAATCCCAGATGGTTTACCTAGTTCTCCTCTACTCCGTTATCCTCACAGGAGCACCCTGCAAGGTAGGTTTGGCTGGGAGTGAGCTTCATGGCCAAGTGGGGACCAAAACCAAAATTTTCCAGATCCCTAGATCATCCCTGCAATTATTACCCCACACTGGATCTCAAGAGAGCCATTCAATTTCATATAACAGACAAACATTTGAGCAAAGAAAATGCAGGCAGGCAAATCCGCAATGGGGTGGCATTCCCTCAGGCATCCCAGTGGGAGCTGTTTAGGGACAATTGGCAGCCAGGGCAGTTCTTTCATGAGCAGCCCTGTCTTGGACAGAATGTGCATTCTGCAAGGCCACTGAGTTTAAGGGGGAAGGATAGTCAGAGCATTATGCAGACACATCCACAATGTGCTCACAAACTCCTTCGTTGGACTGGGATGAAAATGCTCTCCACTGATCTTCCATGGCTTCCACTCCAAAAGCTTCCTTCTAAAGGAGACTGGTTCCTGGAGACATTGACTATAGTAGGGCAGATCCTGCCATGTATTTTCAAGCTAAATCATTTCCAGAGCACTTCTATTGAAGTGAGTGGAGTACCTCTGGAGGTTTCAGCCTAACTCTTGATATCAACATCATTTCAGATCTAAATGCTTTCTTGCATGGGAGCTGGAGTCCCACTCTCTTTGTTCTTGGTAATTCCACTGTAGTTCATTCAACCAAGTCATATAACAAGCAATTAACAATAGAGGAGGAGACACGCATTCACGTCTCTTTCAAAGATGTACAGGGTGTTGGGGAGGGGAGAGCTGTAACCCGCTTGCTTTTGAAGCAAGGCATTTTGTGAGATAGCAAGTGAAATCTGATAAACCCATTCAAGTAAAAGGCTTTCTCTGTGGTACAGCTTCTCATTATCAGGGATATCTCATTCTAACAGGATCATTAGAATGAACAAAAGATGACTGATGCATTGGCAATTATATGGCGCTTGGGGATTCCCTGATTTGAAAGGCTAGGACAAGATGATGGAATGGCTTCTTATCACTTTCAATAACTGTTTTAAAAATTTGGTTGACAGCAGAAATTAAACAAAGTTATGGAAAGGAATTGTGTTTGCTACTAAATGAAACAAAAGCTTCAATGGGATCTCTCTCTCAATCTCTCTCTCTCCATTACAAGACAAAGAATAGTGGAACACCAAACAGGTGCATTTCATTTAGTCTGTTGAATGGTTTCTTATCTGTAAAACCTTCAGAAGGATGAAAGCTGGAGAGTGAAATGGAAAAACTAAGCCCCAAAACACATACCCACATGGCTGCTTCCTTGTTTCAGCTGAAAAGAAGATGTCAGTGGCACTCTTTTACTTTAAACTAATCGCTTGCTGGCTAAGAGTCAGATAAGTTTGCTACATGCCACTGACTGAATGCAATGGCTGTTTAGTGGAAAGATACTCTTTTGTTCCAAAACATTCAACCTTGTAGAACATGAGATTCATTCCATATGTCAGAACAACTTGAACTCTGGTAAAGTTAATATAACAGATGAGCAGATCTCTCGGGTGGAGTGTTTTTTTTGGTGGTGGGGTATGGATGGGAGGAAACATTTTGATATATTGTGTTGGAATGCACAGCCTCAGAAAAGCTGAAAATTGCCTGGGCAGTGCTAGAACAGTCTTGGGGTGACCCCCAAGGAGCAAAGTCTTTTAACGGCCAATCTGACAGCTGTGCAACAGGGTGTCCATTATGGCATGGCACTCGTAATGCGTTGCATACAGTCAACTCACTTAACTTTTTGCTCCCTTTGGAACTGGAATGTTGCAGTTGGCTTCCTGTCGCTTCTCTGTGTTTGTTATAGAAGGTCTTAGGGCTAAGTCATTAACCACATTTGAATTGATCCATTAATTTACTATATTATTTTCTTAACATTTTCTACTAAATCTCTTTACGATGGGGACTGTCCCCAAGGTAGCTTGTAAAAATAAAACAATCCATTACAGTAGCAAAATAGCAAGTTTAATACAAAACAGCAAACCTAGCTAGAAGTTTTTCATACCAGCCTCTCACAGTCATAGGTGCGATCAAATATGAGAGAGCCACATGGTTAGGCCTGTCTTAGGGTCAGCCTTTGCTTTTGCCCGCTTCTTTATCTTATAGGATGCATGTGAATACATGCAGCACATAGACTGGCATGCTGCCATTTCCTGGGGGAGGAGAGTGAATAGCATTGTCACCTTGGATGTCAGCTCTGTGGGTGCAAAGTGAACTTCCAAAGGTGGAGGCACTTCTTCCACTGAGCTGGCCACTCACCCATTCATCCCACCCAGACAGAGCTTTCCTACCTACTTTTAGTAGTCTCTCAAAGTGAGAGATAAGCGGGCTCTCTGGAAAGCCAGGTAGGCCCAAATGCTTTACTTTGAAGGGTCTCCTTAAAGTGAGGCATCCTGGGTGAGGTGGCTAAGAAGAACACCAGTGCTGCTACAGCAAAGGAATCTCCAAGACCACTGTATCCAGAATGCATCACTTTAAGAAAAATCTCCTCTCAAAGTGTGTCGCAGTGGCAGAGGCAGGTGGAAGGGAAACAAGCTGGAGAAGAATGGGAGAGTAGAGTGCCATGAAGGGGTGGCAGTGATTGCAGAGTGGTAGGAAGGGGAAATGAGGAAGGGAAGAGATGGAGTGGTGGTAGTGGCAGCAATGGCATGTCCCGTCTTGCCCGAGGCTCAAAATACCAAGGGGTGGGCTTCAGAAGCACTGTCAGATGTTTCAGCCTTGTCTGTTCTGTAGTAAATTTAGTGTCCTTGGCCAACACTGCTAACTGCTTCACAGGTTCTGATATGAATCTCAGGGAAGTTGCCAGAATAGATTCTTCCACCCAAGAGTCCAATAAATGTATCTGTGCTTGGTCTTCCTTCTCACTGACTGTGATTTCCAGCTTTGTGTACTTACATAGCTATAAACAAGAAGGATGCAATTTTCTGGACATATATAGTGAAGTTGGCTGCTCTCATGAAGTTAAATTGATACGACGGTGGCCACTTGCCATGATGACAAGCCATCCTCTAGTTCACCAGACTTTTTACTAATTCAATAGATGAGATTTGCAGAACTGAAAGTCAAGACTACTTGAAAAATTAGATCAGGTATTGGCTTATCCCCAGTGTCTTCCCTGAAACAGTTGATATTACAGCTGAAACCACTTAAATTGAAAACCAAACTTTTTTCCCTGGCTGCAAAATAGGATAAGAAGTTCCTTGCCTCCAGAGGAAAAGCGGAAGATCAGACATGCCTAGCTGCTGAAAACTCCATCTAGTGCCTATCTGGCATTTGAGAACTCCATCGAGTCTAATATTTCCACTCTGATTAACGATTCCTTTAACAGGTCCTGAAATCTACTCCAAAGGGGCTTCTGCTGCTTTTATTACAATTTGAACTTTCTCAATTCAGACAATTAAAGGAAGATATTTAACATTTCCTTGGAAGATTCTGTCATGACCCTCACCCACTCAGGCAGGAGAACTGCCACTATCTATTTTCAGGAGTGACGAGGTAAGCAAGGGAATTGGCTTTGTTGCAAACAAATCGTTGCAGGAGCTCTCAAGGCTGAAACAAGTTATTTAGTTAAAATCATTAAAAAAGAGGCAGGGGATATTTGGAGTAAATAGAAGATATTTCCTTCAAAAATAGATGTGGTGAGAGGGAGATATATTG